CGCACTGAAAGGCCACCCGCCAGATGCAGCAAAATATCATCTGCTTTTCTTAGGATAATGAGATCGGGGCGATTTTTGTTTTCTTCTTTGCATCTTCCTGTATTACAAAAAGCTTTACATGGTTTTTTTTCCGGATGAAAATAACTATAATTTTTTAGGTTTTTAAAGTAATATCTGGGTTACAGTTCTTGATATGATGCTGAACTCGTTCCAGGCCAGGAATCGATCTCAGGTGTTTCACACCGATGGGGTGCACCATTCAAATCTGAGGAGGATGTCCACAAGCTGTGTTGAAAAACTGTGTGGCGGTTAATTGTAGGTGTCAACCTGACTGGGTTAAGGGGTGCCCAGATAGCCTGTGAAGTATTACGGGTGTGTCTCTTAGGGTGCCTCCAAGAACCAATTAGCATTTGAATCAGACTGACTAAAGATCGTCATTACCGATGCGGATGGGCACCATCCAATCTGATGAGAACTTAAATTGAACTACTGAGCTGGTGGGGGCAGACCTGGGGGAACTAGTTTCTCTGAATCCCCACCTCCGCAAAGAAAGTCAATAACGGGAGCAGATCTGTGAAAGTGAGGGTTAAATCCCCCTTTCTTGGTTGCAAGGCCACCTACGGGCAGAAAAACTACATTTCCCAGCCTTCCTTGCGGAAGGTCATCCTGGCCAATGATATGTGAGCAGTCGGTCACATGGCCGCTCCCGGGACTTTCTGAGTGAGCCGTTTTTGCGCAAATTTCTCCCACCCTAGTCTCTTCCTCCATCCGCTGCCTGGGATGAGGCGGAGGAGGGATGGTGGAGGACGAGGACCACACCGAGCGAGGGGGTTGGAAGGAGCCTGCACCCCTAAGGACTTTGGGGCACAGAGCTGCCCCGCCTCCCTGAACAGCCCACCGCCCTCCTCCTTTTGAATGAGACGGAAACCATCTTCTCTCTTGTTTAAACCACGACTTAGTAGCTGTGCTGTTACAGCCGAACCTAATCTTAAATAATTATAGAGCCAAAGGAGGAGGTAAGGCCTGATGGGGAAGCAGGTCCCCGTGGCTGATAAAACCGCAGAACCTGAGGGATCTATTGGGAACCCGTAGGCTGAGGGCGGGGAGGAGTAGAGAGAGGAGCGGGGACAACCTGTGAACAGAAGGTCGCCTGTCCGGAGGATTTTCAGGCCTGGAAAGAGTTTGAAGGGTCAGACACTGTGCAGCGGGGGGGTGGGGGGGGAGGGCGGGGGGTGATGCGACAGAGTAAACAAACCAGCGCAACCACGCCTCTGACGCCCGCACCTTTCCCATCCACGCCGAGGGGGAAGGTGAGGGAGGAATTTTACCATTAACCCGTTTTGGGCTTTTCATTTCTACTCAGGACTAGACATTCTGATTACCCATCTCACACCAAATCGGCCACTTAAGTGATCACAAGCTTTAGAGGAGACCAGAGTTAGCAAATGAGGTAGAGGGAGCGTTCGCATCGTCTTGGGGCAGAGATGATCCGCACTGTCCGCCACCCCCCCCCCCCCCCCCCCGCCCATCCACCCCCCCGCCCCCCGCATTCACCCACCCAGCAAATATTTTCTGAGCCTCTGCCACGTGCCAGGAACTGTTCTAGGTGCTGACACGGGACAGTGAACAAAGCACCTCGTAGAGCTTACATGCTAATGGAGGAGATGGGTGCTACTCGGGATACAATTTTTATATTACCAAGTATGTTATGTAGTGATCAGTGCAAAGGAAATAAAGCTGAGAAAGGGGATAAGAAGTAAAGGGTTAAATTCCCGTTAGGACGGCTTGGGAAGGCCTCACTAAAAGGCAACATTTCTGTAAAGACTAAAAAATGTTAGAGGGGTTGTGAGGCCTGGGTGACTCAGTGGTTGGGCATCTGACTCTTGATTTCAGCTCAGGTCATAATCTCACGGTTCGTGGATTCAAGCCCCAAGTCAGTGGAGCCTCCTTGGGATTCTCTCTTGTTCTCTCTCTCTCTCTATCTCTATCTCTCTCTGCCCCTCATGCGCACTCTCTTAAAATAAATAAATGAACTTTTAAAAAATGTTGGAGGGGCACGGGGAGAGAAAATACAGTCATGTGTTGATGATGTCACTTACTGGGTACAACCATGTAGTGCCTGCATATGTGTGTCCATGTGTGACAGAATGGGAATTGGCTCCACAGCCCCTACTGTGAGGGCTGAAGTATCTGGGACAGAGATTAAATATGAACCTGGGCAGGATGGGCCTCTCAGCCCAGCTCCAGATCTTAAGTATGGCCAAGATTGGGGCCATGTGTCATCAGCCCTGGGCAGCATCAGTGACACCTGCTCTCAGGCTGGACAGCGCTATCTGAGAAGGAGAACGGGCCCCAGAGATTGTACAGTCTCCTGATTCTGGCCTATGGCATCAGAGGCTGGGGACAGCACAATGTGACTATGCTACTGCCCCCCCTACCCCCCACCTCTGCCATTTTCCAGTCCCCAAAGGCAGACAGATCTGATGGGGTTTTTCCAGGCTGGGCCAGTGGCCTGACCCAGCAGGGGCCATGAGGACAGGGCAGGGACCATTCCTGGACAGTCAGGAGAGATGAGGTGTGTCCCTGAGCCCCCATGGCTGGAGCTGGGGGGTCGGGGGTCGGGAAGCAGCTTTGCCAGGAGCAGGCAGAGGTCAGGGTTGGGAAGGTCAGCCATGCCCCCACCCCACATCCTGTTTTTGGAATGTGGGGCCCCAGCATGTGCTTTCCTTTGGACTTTGTCCAAGGCAGTGTCTCCCCGCCCAGGCCCACTCCCAAGGGAACCCTGCATGACAGTGGGGAGGGTTCCCCAGCACAACCATCATTAACCTAGGGTTTTTCCAGGCTGGGCTGCGCCCCGGAGCCAGTGTAGGTAAAGGGCACATTTCCCACCCTCCCTGAAATCAGGCCAGGGGGTCCCTGTCAACACATGGAAATTTATACAGGCCCCCATGGCTGAAGGGGAAAGGAAATGTCTTTGAGGAGGAGATTCTTGGCCTCCCCACTCAGAGAGGGGCAGGCATGGTCCACGTCCGGTGTGTGGGCCAACCAGACCCAACCAAAGCCTTGGGGATTGTCAGGCCCCAGAACACCCGGGAAGCCCAGCCAGGCTACAGAGAGAACAGTTCCGTGAGGGGCTTGAGCACGTGGGCTCCCAATCTGTCAAACCAGGCATGAGATGGGGACTGGCTACTTGCTGTGTGGGCAAGTGGCTTAGACCCTCCGCGTCTCAGCTTCCCTCCTGCCAGGGTCGTCAAGAGGATTTAATGAGCTGATCTGTGTGATGGGCTCAGCGCAGGGCCTGGTCCAGAGCAGGGGCACAGGTGGGGAAGGGGAATGATGTGCTTGGGGGGGAGGGGGCAGATTCCTAGAAAGGCTTAGAGGGGACAAACAAAATGTCTCAACCTAGGGTGTCCCCTCCTCGGCCACTCAGGTCACCATGAGTCATCCTAACTCTTCCCCTAAGGGACAGCTTCTCTCCTTACACCCAGAGCTGTAGAATGTGATTCAGAGCCTTATGAGGGCAGAGAAGTCCTTCTATTTATTTTTCACATTATAAAATAACATGCTTATCAGAATCAATCTGGAAATTATAGAAAAGCAGGAAGAAAACAAAAGCTTTTTTTAAAACTACCAACGCCAAACACTTGATGCCTTAATGGTTTCCATAGGGGGGGTTCTTCCCTGGGCACAGGTTTTCTTTGTTCTCCATAATATGGTTGGGACCTTAGCATTAAGACATAGAGCTGGAAGGAAACTTGGGGGTCAGATGGCCTCGCCTCCTCAGTTGACAAGCCAGGAGACTGGGCCCAGAAGAGCTCAGTGACTTGTCTAAGGCCAGTAGTGACAGAGCTGGAACCAGACCTACTAAGTGTCTGGAGCCCCCAACGCCAGCACCAAACCCCCCTCCAGCCCTGAAGCCTGCCTTCGAAGGTGACAGTCAGTTGATAGTGGATCTAGGCCTTACAGTTTGGGGGAGTCTGTTCCATGGGCTTCCATAAAGCCCCCTGCCCTCAAAAGGGAGGTTAACCCCCTCCCCCGTTTCCAGGAGGAGACACAGTGGGTGGGATGGGGGGAGGGTGGGTAAGAGATAGAAAGGGAGGGCTGGCAAAGCCCAGCAAGGGGCATGGCCCTGTGTCTGTCCCCAAGGGTGGAGCCAACCAACAGGGCCACCCTGTCCCTTTAAGAGAAGGGGGAGAGCAAGCCCCTCTCTGCCATTCTCTCCTGTCATCCATCCTGGCCAAAGCCAAAAGGGAAAATGAAAGCGGGTCCAGGAGAGTAACAGGTCCCAGCCATCTCCCAGGACCCGTCCCTCAGCTCTAACACCTCAGCTCCAGCCACAGGGTGAGTGTGGGGTCAGGCGAGGGTCTGGGGGCACTGGGAATCTTTGGGGCCTGTGTGAATGTGTCGGGGAGGGTCTCAGGAAATGTGGGAGGCTGGAAGAAGAGGGACACCAGGGAGGAGATGGGAAAGGGCTGGACCCGTATTCCTGCCGCTCCGGGGTAGGATGGCAGGGGCCCCTAGAACAAGGGATAATGACAGAGTTATGAACGTGGGGGGGAACTTTCATGTCCACCAACCCCGCATTCGGAGAGGAGTTCCCTGCAGTAAGAAAGGCAGGAGAAATGATGGGCAGAGAAGGAAAGCGGTGAGCTCCCGCCGGGTCTGCTGGCTCCCACCTCTCCCAGGTTAGGCTGGGTCTGGACTCCCAGATTGGAGGCACCACAGTGGCCCATGGAAAGCATCCTTGGGCTCGCAAGGGCACGGCTGGGCTTCTGCTTCTACAATACAGTCGGTCTGGCCCCGATGATGTCAAGTTCAGTCCCTGCGGATCTAGACTCTAGAGGAGCATGGGGTCCAACCAAGCAGGCCCCATGGGGGTCTGGCTAGAGCACCAGGGTGGTGCTCCTCCCCAGCACCTGTTGGCCCCAAGGAGAAGGGCACCCACAGTTGAGAATCTCCTAACCCCTCCTGCCCCCGCCCCCTTGCTTGACTCCCTCGTTCCCACAAAATCCCGGCTAAACCCAGGCCTAACTGAGCCCCTGCCTCACCCCAAGTTAGAGGAGAGCTAGCTAACCTCTCCCCGTGGGCTGGGGCGGGGGGGGGCGCAGAAAGGGGGCGCCGATCCGCGCTGACGCCCGCCCCCGCGCCCCCCAGCGCCATGGGGGAGTGGGCGTTCCTGGGCTCCCTGCTGGACGCCGTGCAGTTGCAGTCGCCGCTCGTGGGCCGCCTGTGGCTGGTGGTCATGCTGATCTTCCGCATCCTGGTGCTGGCCACGGTGGGCGGCGCCGTGTTCGAGGACGAGCAGGAGGAGTTCGTGTGCAACACGCTGCAGCCGGGCTGCCGCCAGACCTGCTACGACCGCGCCTTTCCGGTCTCCCACTACCGCTTCTGGCTCTTCCACATCCTGCTGCTCTCGGCGCCCCCCGTGCTCTTCGTCATCTACTCGGTGCACCGCGCCGGCAAGGGGGCCGACGGCGCGGACGCGGGGCCGGGGCCGCCCCCGCGCCGCCGCTGCTACCTGCTGAGCGTGGCGCTGCGCCTGCTGGCCGAGCTGGCCTTCCTGGCGGCCCAGGCGCTGCTCTACGGCTTCCGCGTGGCCCCGCACTTCGCGTGCGCCGGCCCGCCGTGCCCGCACACCGTGGACTGCTTCGTGAGCCGGCCCACCGAGAAGACCGTCTTCGTGCTCTTCTACTTCGCCGTGGGGCTGCTCTCGGCGCTGCTCAGCGTGGCCGAGCTGGGCCACCTGCTCTGGAAGGGCGGTCCGCGCGCCGGACGCGGTCGCCAGGCGGCAGAGCGCGACGGCAGCCGCCACCGCGCGCGCCAGGAGGCGCAGCAGCTGCTCCCGCCGCCGCCGCCGCCGCCGCCGCCGCCGCCGGCCCCGCCCTCCGGGCGCCCGCGCCCCGACCCCTGCGGCCCCCCTGCCTACCCGCACCTGGCGCCGGCCAGCGACAGCGAGGGCGGCAGCGGCCGCAGCAAGGCGTCCCTCGCCACGGTCCGCCGGGACCTGGCCATCTAGAGGCGGCCAGCAGGTGCTTCCCCGAGAACTGTCCCCGGGACCCTGTCCTGCAGGGTCCCCAGCACTTCCTGGGTGCTCTGGGTGGAGTGGGGCGCGTAGATGGAACTGTGGCAGGTCCTTGCTGCCCTGATCCAGGTGGCAGGGAAGGAGGCCTGGGGCTGAGAGAACGTGCAGGAGAGGAGGGCACAGCAGAGCCGAAGGGGAGGTTCAGGTGGTGCCCAGAAAAAACCCTTGTGCTACCAGCATGCCGACGGCCTCTCCTCGTTCAGACTGAGCCGTGCCTCTGTGTGGGCTCCCTGTGTGGGAGCACACACGTACACATAGGTGTGGCAGGAGCCGTGTGCACGCATGCGCATGTAAAACCTGTGTGAGCTCTGTGTGTGTGCGCATAGGTGCATGTGAACCGTGTGTGTACATCCTACGCGGGCTCTCTGTGTGTGCGTCCGTGTGCGCCCTGCAGGCCTGTGTCTGTGCAGGCGTCTGTATGCCCTGGGTGAGCCGCGTGTGCGTATGTGAGAGACAGAGCGAGATCTCTGATATGTACCGCGTGGGTGGTCAGGATCTGGTGCCAGCAGCAGCCACAATGGCTCCCTCCCTACCTGCAGGGGCGTTGCAGGAGGTCCCCCCTCTTGACGGAGCCCACAGAGGGAGGAGCCAGGCGCCCCTTCACACTGGGCAGGCCTCAGTGTGGTAGGGCTTGTGGACACCATCCACACTTGACCTTGCTGCCCAGGCAGGTGGCCAAGCCCTCCCTTTGATGGAGATAGAGTAGGGGTGAGGGGTAGGGTCAGAGAGCAGGACTCTTTTCTAGATTGGCCCCCTCACCCTGCCGCTGTCCCTCCCCCTCCCCCCCCCCAGTCCATAAACACGGCCAAGTCCTTCTGTCCTCAAAGCCGCGCTGACATGTGCCCCTGGCCCTGCATTTCCCTGTAGCCACCCCCTTCTTCCCTCCTCGGAGAACATAAAGAGCTACCTACACGGCTGCCTCTTGTCCCCCTCCGTCTCTTCTCCACCCCCATGTGTCTTCCTCCCTCGCCAGCCCTGTGGGGCTGCTCTCCGCAAGATCACTCAGGCCCTAAGTGACATCCAGGGGCCACCATCTGACTGCACCCTGAGCTTTGTCCAACCCCCCTGGGCAGGCTTGCCTCCACCCACTCTGCCCGATTTTCTCTGCGTCCCTGGCCCTTCCCTCCTTGGCCTCCTTTCCTTGTGCTCTTCTTCCTGGACTCCCCTGCCTGCGCTGCGCACAGGAGCCGGAGGGGTCTTTCTAAATAGTCTTCCTGCTTAGTCCCCCCAGGGGCTCCCTGTCATCAGGGTAAGTCCAGCACCTACGTGAGGCTTCTGGTCTTGCCCCGCCCGGCCCTGCTTCAGCCCCGCTGCACGGGCTTCCTAACCATGCCGTGTTCTCTTCCTACCAAACACAGCGACCAGTTTCCTTCCCGGAGGTTGGCACATGCTGTTTCTCTGCCTGGAGCAGCCCCTCTCTGCAGCGCCCCCTCCCCACCCTAGCTAATACCTACCTGCCTTTTGGTCTCATTTGGAAATAAACAGATACTTTCTCTAACAGCCCCCACCCCCAAGTCAGAGCTAGATGACCCAAGGCACCCATACTTCCCCAGGCAGAGCACTTCTGCTGGATGGCATTACTCGCTCCTCCACGATGGCCCCAGAGTAGGTGCTTAGTAAAATACGTGTTGCTAAGGAACCGAAGGTGTCCCAGAGGCCCAAGCACGTATCCTTGTTCACGGTGTGCAATTCTCTCTCTGATGTTGATGAATTAGGTGTGCAAAGCGTGGATCTACAACAAACTCAAAGGCGGATATACAGCTATTCTCCAGATGTATTCATTCAAGAAATATTTGTTCGGCACATACTATGTGCCAGGCAATGTTCGAGATCAGCACCGTTCAATAGAAATACGATGTGAGCCACATGTGTGATTTCAGATATTCTATTAGCCACATTAAAAAGTAAAAGGAGGGGCACCTGGGTGGCTCAGTCGGTTTAGCGTCTGACTTCGGCTCAGGCCATGATTTCACGGTTTGTAGGTTCGAGCCCCGCATCAGGCTCTGTGCTGACAGCTAGCTCAGAGCCTGGAGCCTGTTTCGGATTCTGTGTCTCCCTCTCTCTCTGACCCTCTCCCGCACAGTCTCTTTCTCTCAGAAATAAATAAAAAACATTAAAAGTTTTTTTAAAAAGTAAACACATGAAATTAATTTTAATAATATATTTTCTTTAACCCAGGATATCCAAAATATTATTTCAACACATCATTGATATAAAAAAGTATTAAGGAGATATTTTATATTCTTTTTTTTTTATGCACTAAGTCTTTGAAATCGGGTGTATATTTTATGCTCGGAGCACATCTCAATTTGGACCAGCCACATTTCTAGACACAGTCACCACATATGGCCAGTGCTGCTGTATTGAACAGAGCAGATCCAGATGTTGGGCTCCAGTGGTGAACAAAATCTGCCCTCGAGGGGCTTACAAAGCAGGCAATAAATATAGTATACACTGCCAGGTATCTCTCAGAGTAAGCGCATAAAGTGACTGTCCCTCAGGAGTGACACTGGAACAGAATGTAGGAAAGAGCTAGCCATGAAGCTGGCTCTGGAAGAGCATTCCTGGTGGAGGAGCTGGCAAGTGCAAAGGCCCTGTGGCAGGAATATGCTGGGGTGTTTGAGGCCAGCAAGGAGGCCACTGTGGCTGGAGCGGAATGAGGGATGGAAGGAGGGGTCACCAGCACCTCAAATGCATCCCAACTGTCTTAGTTCCCTTCTCAGTGCTGGTATCTCCATCCCCCCGGGCCCCCTCCATCCACTATTGCAGAAGCCTATCTTCCGCCCACCTCCCATGTCCTGTCAATCACCTGGTCCCGCCCATTTTACCACAGAAGCATTTCCTCCCTTTATCCACTCTTATCCTTTCGGGGGCTGCCCAGGGTCAGCCCTGTCACCAGAGGCCAGAATCACTCCCACAGCTTCTGCTCTGCTCCCTGCAATTCCAGTCCAAACGGCTCACTGACTGGCTTGAAATCCTTCACTCCCAACATGCTCTCGATCAAGTCCAGCTCCTGCACCAGCCCTAGCCTGAGCCCATCCCAGCCTCTCCAATTCACTTCTTCCAGCATTCCACCCCAAATGGTTAAAGCACAGAGCTGGTGACAGTTTCTGATCACATGAAGCCATTTATCACCTCTGTGTCCCAGCTGGCTAACTCTTCCCCTTACCCCTTACCCTGGGAAGGAACACCTCTTCCAGGAAGCCTTCTGAAGTTTGCCCCAGGCCTGATTAAATGCCCTGTGCTCCCGTAGGCCCAAGATTTAGTCACCATCTTAGCCAGCTTGCACCCCAGTCACCATTCTTTGGTCAGTCTCCCCTGCCAGTGCAGAGCACATGTCAGACAACACCGGTCAGACCCCATGGTGGGGTTCCCAGCTGGGAGCAGTTTCCCCCTGCCAGGGGACATTTGGCAATGTCTGCAGACATATAAGGACAGCTCCTCATGACAAAGAATCCCTGGGCCCAAAATGTCACTTGTGCCGTGGTTGAACTATGAGTCACTGAGGGCAACCTCCAGCCCCAGCGTCAAAGGTACAACTCCCAGGGAACATTTTGTAAATGTGGGGGCACCACTACAGTTGTCAAAATGAAGGCAGTCTGTTGGCGTTTGGTAGGGGGGGCTGGAAATCCCAAGATGCCCTCCTACAACACACGTGGAGGCACCCGGCTGCCTCAGGTAGAGCAGGTGACTCTTGATTTTGGGTTTGCTTTATGTTCTTTTATTTTTGAGAGAAAGCTTGCACGTGTGTGCAAGTCAGGGAGGGGTAGAGAGGGTAGAGAGCGAGGTAGAGAGAGAGAGTGAGAGCAGGAGAGTTGAAGAGAGATCTGCGCTGACAGCAGAGAACCCAGGGCAGGGCTTAAACTCACAAACCTCGAGATCGTGACTTGAGCCAAAGTCAGATGCTCAACCGAGCCACCCAGGCACCCCTGATTTCAGGGTTGTGACTTCGAGGTTGTGACTTGGAGCCTCAAGTTCAGTGTAGAGATTACTTTTAAAAAAGAGAGCATGGGGGCGCCTGGGTGGCTTAGTCGGTTAAGCGTCCGACTTTCGCTTGGGTCATGATCTCACGGTTCGTGGGTTCAAGCCCCGCGTCGGGCTCTGTGCTGACTGCCAGCTCAGAGCCTGGAGCCTGTTTCAGTCTGTGACTCCCTCTCTCTCTGACCCTCCCCTGCTCACGCTGTCTCTCTCTCTCTCTCCTAGAAATAAATAAAAAATGTTAAAAAAAAAAAACATTTAAAAAAAAGAGAGAGCATGGGTGGCTCAGTCGGTTAAGCGTCCGACTGCGGCTCAGGTCATGATCTCACGGTTTGTGGGCTTGAGCCCCGCGTCGGGCTTTGTGCTGACAGCCAGCTCAGAGCCTGGAGCCTGTTTCAGATTCTGTGTCTCCCTCTTTCTGTGACCCTCCCCGCTCACGCTGCCTCTCTCTCTCAGAAATAAAACATTTTTTTAAAATGTAAAAAAAAAAAAAAAGAGAGAGAGAGAGAAAAGAAATTTCACACACATGGCTTTAGAATGTCCCAGTGGATGGTCACATCGTGAAAAGCCTCTCCATAACTACCTGAGCCCAAAACCTGATTCTGTTTCACAAGTAAAACAGGGTTTTGTGGTTGTGGTTTTTTGTTTGTTTTTGCATGGTTTTATTATACAGTGGCAGCTTTTATTTCAACATTCACTCCTACTCCGTAAGTTTCCTGTGCTTCTTGGGGCGCCTGGGTGGCTCAGTTAAGCATCCGACTTTGGCTCAGGTCATCATCTCATGGTTTGTGAACTGGAGCCCCACATCAGGTGAGCTCAAGCTGTTTCAGGCTCCTCGTTGACAGTGTAGAGCCTGTGTGGGATTCTCTCTCTCTCTGTCTCTCCCTTCCCCCGCCTTCTCTGCCCTTCGTGGGATTCTCTCTCTCTGCCCCTCCCTCATTCATACCCTCTCTCTCTCAAAAAAAAAAAAAAAAGTTTACCAGGCTTCTTCTACAGAAGCCATTCTACAGAATTCTACAGAACCATCTGACTTCTTTTAACTCCCAATATATTAATTAAAAGTAGAAGCAATCAGGGGCGTCTGTGTGGTTCAGTCCGTTAAGCGTCAGACTGGCTCAGGTCACGATCTCACAGGTAATGAGTTCAAGCCCCGCCTCCGGCTCTGCACTGGCACCGCGGATCCTGCTTGGGATTCTGTCTTCCGCTCTCTCTGTCCTTCCCCCGCTTGTTCTCTATCTCTGTCTCAAAACAAATAAAAGTAAACTTTATAGAAGAAAAAAAGTAGAAGCAATCATAGGACAATGTCCTATCTGCCAGGCAATTGTTTCCAAGCATTAACATACTGAAATGTTAGAAAATAGTTGCTGGAGGAAGAGAGCCCTTGCCTCCGCGTGCACGCTGACCGCCCAGACGGCCGGATACGTGAGGAGCTGTCGCCACCTGGTGGTTGAAGTAGAAATGGCAGGCAGACCCCACGGAAGGAACGCTTCCTGCCCAGGAATCTCTTCCTGCCCAGGCGCCCCGCTAACCCAACCCCAGACACAGCCTCCACTGCCACCTCTCTGGAACCCTTAGACCTCAGTGCTCTACGCTTCTTCGGGGGCATCAAGACTCCAGGAAAGACCTCTGGCTGAGAGGTGGGCGCCTTGAGTACTGGTCCCCCCATCTGCCGTGAATTCGCTTTGATCCTGGACAAGGGCACTGCTCTCTCTGGGCCTTGATGTGTGGAGTGTGAAGGGTGGAAATTGGTCTCTGATGACGCTACGGGCCTGCCACACTTGACCCTCTCCACCAGGAGCATTCAGGGCCTCCTGCCTACAGAGTGACTAGGCGTAGGTGGGGGAAGGCAGGACAGTCCTTGAACGTACAAGGATGGATGGACTGGTTTTCTAAGCTTCCATCCCAATCTGTGTTCTTGTCAGCTTTCCAGGAGCTCCTGACCCAAATGCCCCTGCCAACTGCCACCTCTGAAGGTCAAGTGCAAATTAGAGCTCCTCTGCCACTTAGGGACCCTCAGACTCAACCTCTGGCTTCCAGGGGCTCAGGACTCTCTGCAGCCAGGAGCTGGCTTCCTCCTTCAGACTGAGATTCCCAAAGAGCTGGGGCTGGCTTCCTCCCTCAGACTGGGGACTCCCTGAAGGTGGGAGCAGCTACTTCTCTGCCCTCCCCACCCTCAGACTGGAGCTCCCTGACACAGGCTGTGTAGACCCCTAGACAGAGGGCTTCCCAAGGGCTGGCCCATCTTGTTCCACCAAAGACCCCAACACAACAAGGCAGGCTCTGAAGGCAGCTTGGCCCCCAACGCTCAGACCTAGCCCCCAGCCCCAGCCCCCTGCCCACACACCAGGAGAAGGCAGCGAGGCAGTGAGACTCGGAGGCATGTGTAGAATAAATATAACTTTATTCTTTATCCAGTAGATCTCAGTGGAAAGTCCAACAGTAACAGGTGCACCAGCGGGCTCTGGGGGGATGAGACCCCAACCCCGGGGCAAGGAGGGCAGGGCAGAACCAGCTCCCCCAGCCTGGGGGTGCAGGGGGTGAGGGGAGGGGATCCCCTGGAGGCCCGTCCTGCGGGGCAAGGAGGGGTCATGGGTATGGGGTGGGGGTGGGGCAGGCCAGGGAAACGGAGGAACTCAGGCCAAGTGTGTCTGTCCACCCATTTGTTGGTTGTGTGTGTAGGTGTGTGGGTGTGGGTGAACGTGTGTGTGTGTCTGGGGGCGCTGTGGGCAGTGCTGGTGGCTGTGAGGCTGGGGGACAGGGGCCGCTTGAACCCCTTGGCCAGCCCCTTCACAGTGGGGGGGGGGGCTGGAGGGCTTCGATGACGTGAGCCCTAGGGGGAGGCAGCTCTGCCAAGGCCACAGGGCTGAGACACACACATGTGGATGTTCTGAGGACCCCCCGCCTTGCTTTGCCCCTGCCCCGTCTCTCCTGGTGAGCCCCCTCCTTCTAGGGGCTGCAGGAAACTGTCCACGCCCAGTGGTTAGGCGGGGGGGGGGGGGGGGGGGGTAGGGAAAGAGACCTTGGAAAGTTAGTACTTCACAGTTTTAAAGAGAAAACTGAGGAGGAAAAAAGGCTGGGGAGGAGGGCTAGGGGGTGCGGGGACATGGAGAGCGAGTGGGAGCCCCTTCCGAGCCGCTCCCCTCTCCCAGGACCCACCCCCCTCCAGCTCCGGATCCAGCTCCCCCCAATACACAGCACAGATTCCTTCAGTATAAATGTGCTTAAAATGAAAATTCTTATTAAAAAAATCAAAACCAAAAAAAAATTAAAATAAAAACAAAACCAGCGAGAATTAATACCTGGGGGTTGGTATGGCAGGGTATGTACAGGGGGAACCCCCCACCCCTGGCCCACCCCCTGTCACCAACCGAGGCAGGGGGGGGTTTCCCGACCGGGGGGCAATGGCTTGCGGATTCTGAGTATGGGAGAGCCAGATCCTGGCTTTTGCTGGTGATGAAGATGTGGCAAGGGGGGCAGAGGGCTGTCTTGATGAACACCAGGCCCCCAGGCTCCATCCTGAGGCCCAGGCCCAGGGGTCCTCACTCAGTTCACGACCTTGCCCTTGACGTCAGCCCAGGCTGCAGGAGCAGCCAGTCCATCTGCACCCGGGCCTCCATCTGAAGAGTCGCCACCTCCTCCCTCCTGTCCCCCAGGAAAGGGAGGACAGCTGGGGGAGGGGGGCAGGGCTGGTGGGGGTCACATGGTTGGTAGAAAGGCAGAGAAAAGCCAGGGCGTGGGGTGAGGGCTGTGTCCACGGGGTATGGGCGGTCACGGGGAGTGGGCGGCCGGGCTGCTTCTGTTTGAGCTGGGGCTGAGGCTGGGGCTACAGCTGCCAGGGGCGGGGGCCAGGCCGCCCCCATCCCGCCCCCCGCCCCCCGGCTGTCCGCTCAGAGTGTCCAGGCCCTCGGAGTTCTCCAGCATTTCCTGGATGAGAGGTGGCATGGAGCCCGGGATCTCCATCTTCAGCGTGATCACCCGTTCAGCCCCTGTGGGAAAGGAGGAGCAGAGGTCAGTACTGGGCCCCTGGCCCCAGGCCCCATAAAGCTCTGGGAGGGAGGGCACAGGTGTGGGAGGCCTGGTACTACCAGTATCAGCATCCACTGTGGACTGAACTCAGGGCTCAGCTCTCTGACATAAGCCAGCCCTCCTAGGCCCCCAGGTCTAGGGGCAGCAGTATTTCCAAACTCATGCTCTGGGGTCGGACTGCCTGGGGTGGACGCTGGGCACCTTTCCTAGATGCTGAGTGTTTTGGATTCTCCTACTGACACCTCAAAACAACTCTGTAAACACCATCAATTATCCCCCAGGGAAACTGAGGCTCAGAGCCGGTTAAGTGACCTGCTCAAGACACACATCCACAGGGTCTGGCTGCAGAGCTATGCCCTCAACCACCACACAGAGGTGACACTGCCACCTTAGAGCTCACAGCCAGGTCACCTGGGCACGGTGAAGTCCGGGTGAGTGGGGCATCGTCCTGGGCCCAAAGACGTGGCGTGCTGGCTCACAAGTGGGGGGCTGGACTCTGGGCATGGGCAATGGGTCCCGGGCCAGGTGTCGGGGTCCAGCCCCGGCAGACACACAGGGCATCCTTCCAGGTGCAGGAGCCTCACCCTTAGCACTGATGCTCCGCAGGTCCGTGATCTTCATCAGCATCTTGGGGAACATGTGAGGGCGGCTGGGCCTCCGTTTCCGCACATAGACCTTCAGCGCCTCCAGCAGCGGCTCCTGAAGCATGTCCACCCTGTCTGGCTGCTCCAGGTCCTGCCGGTCTGAGGAACCAGATGCCCCCTTGAGCTGCTGCCTCAGAGACGCAAGGCACACAGCTGCGCTCCCAGCCTTGGCCACGGGAGGGCGCACTCGCGCAGGCCACAGGCTAAGGATCTCTGCTCCTGAGACCTCCCCCTGCAGGGCAGTGGATGGGGCCTGTGTGCTGTGAGAAAGGCCCCAAGAGGCTCTTACATGTGAGCGGAGAACTGGGGTGGGGCTTGTCCAGGGCCCTCTCTGACAACCCAATTTACAGGGATGGGCCCTCCGGAACACAGGCAGTGGCAACCTCAGCAGAAAGCGGCGGCCCAGGTGGGTCTCACTCCCTCCCATCATGGACCCCAGCACAGTATGTCAAACTCCTAACAAAATAATAACAGCAGCCAACATTTACTGGGCCTTACTGTAGGCACACTCTGCCTTACTTATTACCCTCTTAATCCCCCCATCAACTTTATGAGGTGGAGACCATTACTGCCCCATTTTAAAGAAATAGGGCCTCAGTGAAGTTCAAAACAACTGCTCAAGGTCACAAGCTGGCCAGGATTTGAACCTGAGTGGTCTGACCTTTAAGCCTTCACTCCTAAGTCCCCTAGAAGGAGCACGGCCCACAAACAGGGAACCAGAGTTCAGGTCTCCACCGCCACCCCCTTGCTGCGTGGCCGTAGACCAAACTCTGCCCCCTCTGGGTTCTCGGTCTGCCGCTCTGAGAGGGGCCTGACAGAGGCCAAGGTCCCTTTCTGATCTGACCCTAGGCTTCTCCCTGGAAGAGACTCTGGGGGCCGCCCCACCACCCCGGTCCTGCCCCCTGCAGCCCCGTGCTCCCTGCCCACCTCCACAGATGAGACAGATGGCACTGAGAAGACCAGTCTCAGCATCATCCATCTCCAGGGGCAGCAGCTGGTTGGCGAAGGCGAAGACCAGGTCCGTGAGGGGGCCGAAGCCGGCATTGTGCATCTGGGTCCGGTTCAGGGTCAGACCATCTGAGAAGGTCATTGTGTCCTGCTCGGGTGTGTACCGCGTGCAGATCCGCAGGATCTGGGTGCAGAGGATGCACGGGTTCAAGGACTTGACCCCCATCCCTCCAGCACTTCCAGTACTAGCATCCCCCACAGGATCACCTGGCAGGTGGCCAAACCAGTGCTGTCGGATAGAACCTTCTAGAACCTGCAATGACCAAAATGTCCTAGGTCTGCACTATGGAAGCAGTAGCCACCAGCCACAATGTAGCCATTGGGCACTTGAAATGTGGCTAGTGCGACTGAGGAACTATGTTTAATCTTAATTAAACGTAAAGAGCCACACACAGCGAGTGGCTACTGTATGGGACAGTGCAGACCTAGATCACGTGGTCTCCATCCATGAAGAGAATTTAGAAGGAAACTAGAATTTTCAGGAGGCAAAGACCACAGCAGGTTCGCGTCTACAGTTCCCGGGACTGGGTTCACAACACAATTCCATAAATGTGTATCAGCTTCAACCATTTCACACCCTGATCCAGGTTTGAAACTCCTGCATCTGAGGCATAGGGACAGGAGATTACCCAGAGATGCCACACTCTGCCCCTCCTACCCACCCCTACCAGGAAGCTGCAAGCCTGGTCACCTCCCAGGTTCTCCTACCCTGGAAGTGGCCAAGAGGGGACAGGTGAGCTGAGCCCATCAGGGAGGGGATGGAGGCGAGTCCCTCCAGCCTTGGCTTTGACAGTCCCCATCACACACATCCTGCCTCCAGCCCCGCCACCCTCTGCCCCACTAAATGCCGTGTAGTCTCGTGAACCCAGCTGGTCTCACACCCCCTTGGGCCTTTCACACCCCGTTCCTAAGTGAGAGCCCTCTCACATCCCCCTTCTACACAGCTCGAGATGCCCCCTCCTCCAGGACGCCTTCCCCGGGACCCTGACTCTTGCTCCCAAGAGGGAAGGGACAGCCCTCCCCCATCTCTAGCCAGCACTCAGCACAGTTTTATAACTTCTGTTTACGTATCTGCTGCCTCCACCCACAGAAGGTTCTCAAAACAGGGGCTGGTGTGTTCATCTCTGTTCCTGACACTCAGCTCGAGGCCTGGCCACACAGGGGTCCTGAATCTTTATTAGAATGAAGATGTGGGCAGATGGGTGGTGGGGTGAAAGTTCCAGTGGAAAGATGGGGTGGGCGTGGACGGATGCAAGTATAGGTGAATTGGTGAAGCATGGGCACATCAAGGTGCTGAGCAGCTCAGTGGACAGGTGGACGCGTTGGGGAAAGGAAGGGTGGACACTGGGTGGTGGGCATTTGGATAGATGGATTCCAAATGTGTGTTTGGGAGGGCAGTTATTTGAGTGGAAGGACCTTCTCCAAGGTCTCGGGGGCGGTGCCCGGGTGGGCAGGGTGCAGACCCTCACCAGGATGTCCAGGCAGGCAGCCTTGAGGAGGGTGATCTGGTCGGCAATGGTGAGGGTGGTAAAGCCGGGCAGCTGCTTGGCGAACTCCACAGTCTTAATGATGCACTTGGTGGAGAGTTCACTGAACTTGTCCCAGAGGTCAATGTCCAGAGAAACACGTTGCTCTGAGCTGTTGTTCTGGGAGGGACGGGGGACAGTGAGGGCCTTCTCCTCATGTACCCCTTTCTCAGCCTGGCTCCGCTGCCCCCACAGGCCTGCCCTCCACCCACTTCACTTCCTGAGAGCCCCTGGATCAAGACTCAGCAGGAGGAAGGAGAAGTGGGGAAGGGAGGACATGGAGGCCCAGGCAGGGGTGGGGAGGGGTGAGATGGGCCCCGTGGCACTGGGTGCATCCCACCCTGCCAGGGCGGGGGAAACCATACCGTAGTGTATTTGCCCAGCTGGCAGAGGGCAGGGAAGGTTTCCTGGTGCGCTTTGCGCACCTTCTCGATGAGCTCCCCCACCTCAGGCGTCAGCGTGTAGCTCTCAGAGCACTCGGGCTTGGGTGCCTCCTTCTTCTTCTTGTTCCTGTCGTTCCTCACAGCTGTGGAGGACAGAGGCTGGGGTTACAGCAGGTGCGGGCGGTGGCCATCCCTGCCTGAGCTCCTCCCACCAGACAGAGCCGCTGGCTGCCACAGAAGCCACCCAGCCAGGCCTGGCGCACGCACACGGGAGCACACACACGGGAGCGCACTTGTGACCATGCACATACGAGTACACATGCAGGTCAGGTGTTGGCACACAGCCCACCCCTCCACGCCCACCACCCACATGGCAACTCCTGCCCCAGCACGTGACCACAGCGCACACACCCCTCGGCCAGCCCGTGTCCCCACCCCGTGTACTCCCACGCAGCCACACCACCCGCCACTCCAGGGGTGCAAGGTGTCCAGGGCTGAAAGCAAGTGTGCGGCCGGTCCCAGCTCCGTGCTCTGCCTCCCCCGCCCCCTACTCCCTCTGCTTCCAGGAAGGACTGGTTCCTGCCTCCGCTGGCCCCCAGCCCCCCTGGCAGCAGTCTCCCTGGGGGTCCCTGGGGCTGGCTCTGAGCAGCTCCCCAGCCTGAAAGTGGGGGCCGGGCAGGAGAATCTCTCAGCCCATTAGCCAGGGGAGCTGACAAATCACCAGGGGCGCTGAGCCGCACACACCACTCGGCTTTAAAGAAGCGATGGGGTCGTTACCAGCCGATTATCCCAGACACACAATCACTCACAAGGCCAGTGGTGGCGGCTGCTGACGCTGGAGGAAGAGAGGGTGGGGGTGGGGGGCCCAGGGAGGGGGCAGCGGGTGGGGGTGGGGGGAGCTGGCATAATTTGGAGATCACTCATGTCGATTCTGCAAATTCAATAAAGTGCAAGGGAGAGGAGGGAGAGGGAGAGGGAGAGTGGGGGGGGATAATTTGGGAAGAGAAAATTGCAGCTGTGACAAGACGTTTATCATTCGGAAGCTTTAATTCTATTGAAATGGCAGCTGCTCAGCTCCGGGGCACAGAGCAGCCGGAGAGGAGAAGGAGGGAGGGAAAGGGGGAGCTGGTGATGGGAGGGAGAGGGGGTCCCCACCCTGGTCCTTCTGCGCTGAAAAGCTCTGGGAGCTGGGAGTGGAAGGCGGCAGAAGCAGTGGGAGGTGGCCGCAGGGCCCTGAAGGGAAGGGTCCCGGGCTGTCACCCACTCTACAGCGTAGAGCCGCCACTTCCTGGGTGCCAGACCATGCGTCCTCTGCCTCCCTTGGCAAGAGGTGGCAGGAAGCTGGCAGGGCCCCTCTGCTCCTATCTGGGGCTCCTCGTGTCCCCTCCCCACTTCCTCCTTCCACTGCCCTCCCCACAAAGGGCTCGGGGGTCCCGCAGCCCCCTCCCCCACCCCATCCCCCAAGGCTCAGGCTCCATGGCAACGGCCACGCAGACAAGGAGGCGTCTGTCAGCGTCATTTATCTCTGACATCATCAATCACCGGTCACCACGGCAACACCCATGATTCAACACAAGAGGGTCTCCCTGTCCAGCCCTCCCTCCCTCCCTCCCTCCACTGCGCCTCAGCTGAGCCCAAACTGGAAACCCCCATTCCTCTGGGACCTGAGAAGTCCCAGTGCTCTTTTCCAACTCTAGGTCCCAGGCTTCACCAGACAATGGCTCCCTGTGCCAGCCACGCACCCCCCACACACACACAACAGACAAACACCAGCCGGCACCCTTCAGTGCAAGCCCTCCCCTAAGGTGCATGATCCAGAGGCCGCTGGGTATGCCTGAGCCCCACCCCAAAGCTAAGCAGGGCCTGGAAGCACACCTGCACGCACGCGTGTGCGAGGACACACGGCCACCCGCATGCGAGCGAGAATGGCTGCCCACACGCAGACACACAGCTGGCTAGATGCACAGACAGACAGACGGGTCCCTGCAGCTGTACACAAACCGTCCTCAAGCACGAGCCCGCACACCCCACCACCGACCACCATGCGCTCCCGTCCACACACACACAATCCACCCGCCCCTAGTCCCATGGCCTCTCCGGAGCACATCAGGCCCTGCCTGGCGCGGCGCCGGCTCCGGCACTGGGGCACTCACACTCCTTGGACATGCCCACTTCAAAGCACTTCTGCAGCCGGCAGTACTGGCAGCGGTTCCGGGTCACCTTGTTGATGATGCAGTTCTTGTCCCGGTGGCACGTGTACACCATGTTCTTCTGGATGCTGCGTCGGAAGAAGCCCTGGGTATGGAAGAAAAGGAGTCAGGTCAGCCGCACCCTCAGTGGGAGCGGTGCAGGCCTGTGGCCCCGGCCTTGGGGGCCGAGGGGCACGCGCCGCCTGCTGCCCCAAGCCTTTGGGGGCATGCCCGACAAGGTGAAGAAAACAGTCCAACAAGGACACCCCCAGAAGAACCCCCAGTGCCCGCCTCAACACCGCAGGTGGACAGTGGTCTTCCACACACCTGGCTTCCTCCCTCCCGGGGAGGAGGACCTCAGGGCTGCTGGTGCATCAGGATAAGGGGCAGAGGGGACTAGATGGAGGAAGGCAGGGCTCTGGAACCCAAGCCCCACGCTCAGAGTACAGGGAAAGAGGCCACAGAGGGACATACGCAGGCCAGCCAGAGAGGTGGAGATGCACACGTGATCAGGAGTGAGGCAGCAAGACACACGGCCACCGACCAGGCAGATGTCCGTGACCACAGGCAGACCTGGGCAGGTCAGGGGCTGCACACACAGGCTGACCAGAGACAAGCGACCAGGGACAAACTGGGAACAGCCAGACAGGACAGGCAGGGACACACATCCAAAGCCTTGTGCTTTGCCCTTCTCTCTGCCCCACACTCCACGCTGAGGGGCAGCCCAGTGCCTCAAAGCCTCAAAGCTGTGCAGCTTCTGAGCCCCGATCTCTGGGGAAGGAGCCAATACAGACGCTCAGGCACTAGGGAGAGGGGAAGAGCCATGCCCACAGCCGCCGGAAAGGTGGCAGCCACATCTGCACCCTGGGGCCTAGCGTGGGTGCGGGGAAATCCAGTCAGACCCCGGGGAGCCCACAGCCTGGGCACCTGAAAGAGAGGCCAAGGCAGGGCGCTTGCTCCGAGCTGCCTTCTGCCAGGCTGCCATGGTGAGGTTCAGGCAGGGCCACTGGGGGCAAGCCTCCTGGGTCCCTCGCCAAGACCCAGTTGGCAGCCAGCTCACTATGGCAACCTGGGTGGCAGCAGAGGGAGCGCACGCCCTGCTGGCTAGAGGATGGAGACGGAGAGGGGCTCAGGCAGAGGGGGGACCTCTGCTTTTGGGGGTTCCTGATCATCCGTGGGAAGTTTCTAATGCAGTCTTCCCTTCCTCCAAGGATCTGCCACCTTCTGCCCAGAAGGAAGCAAGGGCGGCAGTTTCAGAGACATCTCCTCACCCCCCACCGCCCCCAGCATACTCCAGGACGAGGCAATGGGGACATCCCACTTATCCAATCAGGACTGCTCTTCCCAGCGACCCCCTCAACTCACCTTACAGCCCTCACAGGCGCTGACCCCATAGTGGTAGCCTGAGGATTTGTCTTGACAGACAAAGCAAGGCTTGTAGATGCGGGGTAGGGGGGGCGGCGAGGGAGGACTGGGCACTATCTCTTCGGAACTGCTGCTCTGGGTCTCAATGGCTAGAGAGAGAAGAGGGGAGGGGCAGTTAGAGACCCAGGTCACCATCCCTAATACCATACCCACCCTGCCTCTCCCAGCCTTCACCGCTGCTCCCTGGGCTCTCACTGTGGGGCAGGGACAGTCTCAGGAAAGCTGGGACTTCTCAGCCAGACTTGGAGAATGAGGCTGCCAATGACGCTTCCGGCTTCCCATCACTCCTGCCTACTCCCCCAGCACCCCACCTTCAAAACCAGAAAGATCAGGGGATAAACCATCAGATTTGTATGCAGACGGAGCTACACTTGAGGTTTGGGGGTCAGAGTCGGCCTGGCTCTCAAGCCCTGACCCCATCTCCCCCAAGTTAGGAAGGAGTTAAGGTCTGATGAGGAGGGAAGGAAGAGGACACAAGCTGGGGGCAGAGGAAACTGGGGTCAACAGGATATTCAAAGCGGCCACTCCCCCACCCCCTCTGCTTCCGTTCCCCCCCCTCTCCACCCCTCAGCCAGCAGCCACAGCCCCTCCTCCAACTAAACAATCCCCTGGCCAGGGACCCAAGGCAGGGTGTGCAAAGAGGAGTCGCCCATGTCAGAGCAGAGCAGAGCAGAGCAGGTAGGGATTCCCCTGAGATAAGCAGGGGGACCCCTGGAGGCAGGGAGAAGAGTCCTTCTGGGCCCCGGAAGCCCACTGCTCCAAGGTGCCCCCTGTCTAGGGGGGAAGCAGCATGACAAAAGGGGATCTGTTCTTATCAATGCTCTGTCTGTCTGCCCTCAATACTATGTCCGGGTTACTACCCTCCTCCCCCCTCCGGTTATTCAGCCTCAGGAGGGCAAGTGGGGTGGGGGTGGGGGGAGGGGTGGGGGGTGACCCAGCCAACAAGGGCAGCCCCCACTAGCCAAATCCTCCCCAGTGCCTGGCCCCCTGCCCATCACCCCAGGCAGAACAGAGCTGAGCTGGGTGGGGGCTGTCTCTGCCCAAAGCCTGAGCAGCTTGGGGGTGGTATCACGCTGGATGAGAGCTGTGACCTGAGGCAATCCCAGATTCCCAAGGTGCCACCCGGCATCCCCCAGAGGCCTTTGCAGAGTCTACTTGTCCAGCGCCAAGGAAGGGCATGGATGCCTCCCTGAGTAGGTAGATCCCGGTCTCCTCCCACAACCCAGAATCCTATCTAGTCTCATCCCAAACTCCAGCACACAAGGTTCTGGAATTCAAAGGAACTCAGAGCAGCTTCCGGTCCAAGCACCTTACGGCAATGAATCACAGGGGCCCCAAAGTCCAGGCACAGAGAAAAGCAGTAGCTGGACACTGGGGGCTGGCTGCATACGAACCCCCCTTACCTGCAGACACACCAGGAGCTGCCAGGCCGCTGATGACCGGGAACCAGGCCAACAACCTTGGCAGGGCTTTCCTGGCTCTTTGCAGGGCCTGGGCACCACTTCCCGGGTCAGCCTGGCTGACCAGCACTGCTGTGGTCCCGTGCCCTGTCCCTGCCCAGAGGCCAGCCTGCAGCAAAGGAACAGTGGATGCCCACACCTCCACCAATCCACAGCCTCGTCACTGACCTGCCCTGGCCCTCTGCTTCTCACCCCAACACTGAACTGCCCTGGCCTGGCTTTCCCCCCACCTCACCCTCCCAGAGGCCAGACAAGCAAATCAGACAGGCGAGAGGCCTGAGAACAGCTGCTGGGGGGGGGGGGGGTTGGGGGGCCTGGGTGAGGCCAGGAGGCAAAGGGGTGAGTGACAAAGGAGCTCTTTGTTGTGCTAACTTTTTCCAAGACGTAAAAGGAGTAACAATAGACAATCCAGACTGGTGGGGGGGGGGGGTCAAGGACAAGGGGGTGTGGGGGGACCATGGCCTAGAATCCCAGCTTGCTTTCCAACAAGCAGAGGATGAGGGCACCAATCTCCCCTCCCCTGCCCTCTGCATCCACCCTTTGCCCTGGGCCCACCTCTCCAAGGCCCACCTCTAAAATGGACCAGACAGGAGAGGGAGAAAGGACAGATGGAGCTTTGGGGTACAGACTGGGACAGAGGGAGGGGAGGGCATGGGGAGACACACAGGATACCATGATGAGAGACAGCCAGCCAGGGACTGACTAAAGGGGAAAAGACCCAAAGAAATTTGGACCTAAGGCAAAGTCCAGAGGGTGTTTATAGAACTTAAAAGCACGTGCTTTTTAAAATCGTTTTTGGTTGTTTTTTTTTTTTTTTTGGCAGGATGGGGGAGATGAGCCGAGGTGGGAGCTACAGTCTGGGCTGGGTGAGGCCTCCCTGCAGCCCACCCCACTGTGGCTGGCTGCCTCTGAGGCTCTAGCATGCTCTGCACCCCCACATCCAGCACATCCCCACCTGTCACCCAGGTAACAGCTTAGAGGTTTTGCACTGCGCCCTTTGAACCCAGAGCCCTGGCCCAGTCTCCGCTTCCCCAGCCTCTGGCCAGCAGGCTAGGGAAGCTGGTGCGGGGGGGGGGGGGCACTCTGGGACCCTCCTGGCCTCTGCAGGAATCAGGACTCAGCCTTATGTCTGCACACTGGACCTCTGGGGAAAGCACAGCCAGGGCCTGGCCCCTCCCCGCTCACCATCCTCCCAAGAGGCGCCAGCCCACAAATCTCTCCTCTTCCTGCAGAAGAAGGCTGCAGAGCACCACACCTTCTCGGCTCCAAGTCCCAGCGCCCCTCGCCCCTCGCCCCTCGGAGGGCTGGAACCAGCCCAGGAAGCCAGGCGTCCCCTCCCACCAGCACTGCCAGGTGCCCCTCCCCCGTCCTGGGCGGGCAGGGGCCCGGAGGCAGGAGGCACAGTGCTCCGGATTCCCCACGCCCCAGCCCCAGAGCCATTCGCAGGCTAGCACAAGGGGCCGGTTTCCTGGAGGAGATCAGCAGGAAATCAGCTGGGCCCCCGGCCAGCGGTTCCCCTCCCAATCCAGCTGGCGCCCGCTCCTCCGCAGCTCCCCTCGCAGCCCCTGGGGAGGGCTGGGGAGGGGGCACAGGGCCCTCCCCTGCATCGCCCCCTCCCTCCCCTCGGGGGAGGGTGGGGTGGCTCAGGGTGTAGCGGCAGGGAAGGAGGCCCCTAGCCCAGCGCCCGGATAACCATCTCTCCCCCTCCCCCCACCACGGGCATCCACGTGCTTCACATTCTTGGACGTCTGGGAGCGGGCGGAGGCGTGAGCGGTGAGACTGGTGGGGGACAGATGGGGAGCCGCATCCTGTGTACCCCTTGTCCTTCAATGCCCCACAACAGCGTCTCTGGGGAGGGAGGCGAGTCCCCAGGGCCCTGCAGGATTGAAAGGCTCTCCTTCCTCAGCCAGCCTGCACTCTCTTCCCATCTTGGGTTGCAGGTGGCAGGAGGCGGTGGAGAACTCAGGTGAGCAGGCTGGACGGCCCGTCACCGCAGGACCTCCGCACACACCAAGGGATTCCTCCCAAGACAGTTGTGTGACCCCGTGTACGACAGGGTCAAGTCACCACCAGAAGCCTCCAGGTCTTTCCTGTGCCTCAGAACAACTCCCAGCCCACAGCTTTGGGGCTGAGCCCACTGGCACCACGACCAATGACGCATACACACACCTACAAAGGGACCATGGGAACAGCGGAGCCCAGACGTCTAGCTCTACCTAACCCCAGACAGTGTGTGGGAAACAGCCCTCCACTTCCCCATCCCCAGCCTCACCAAACCCAAGGCCTGCCGGGACTGCATGCTCCTCCTCCCCAAGCAGTCTGGGGCCACGGGAGAGCTGAGCTGTCCCCACGGGGTGAAGGAGGAGATGGGGGCAGAACCCAAGGTCTCTGATCCCAGCTTCCCCCTAGTCTTCTGGCACAGGCGGCCAAGGGGGTGGAGGGGGTGACCGCAACAGCTGTGCCCCAATTATCCCACTGGGGAGGAACACCTTGCTCCAGCTGCGGAGAGTGGGAAACAGGGTCCTGGTGTTACCTCTCCCCTTTGGCTAAAGTCAACCGGCACTCACACCACTCACACCCCCCTCCCTCCCGGCATCCAGGGCCTGCAGCCTCCCAGCCACGCGGCCCCAGAGGCAAAGGTCAGGGGGCAGGACAATAGGAAAAGCTGCAGATGAGGTGGCTCTGGGAGGGGCCCAGGTGGGGTCTCTCTCCACTTCAGGTCTCTCTTCCTAGAGCGAAGGGGGCTGGGGGCTGACCTTCAACCTCCTCCAATCTGCCCCCAGAGCCCAACTCCACCCCTCCTCTCAGGCAGGCAGGAGGGAGGCAGCCGGTCGGGAGGGTGGGAGAAGCTCCAGAGAAGAGACGAGCCCCGAGCTGGGAAAGGGAAGAAACCCGAGCCAGGTAACAATAGCCCTGTGGCGCCGCTCCCTCCCGCGCAGGTACACTACCTCACAGCTGGGTACGAACACGCCCAGGTGTGCACCCCAGGCGCTCACAGCTCCCGAGGGTGCCCGGAGCCCCTCCCTTCCAGAGGAGCCCCGAGCCCAGACGGAGGACAGCAGGAAGGTGAGCGGGCTGCCAGGGCTCAGTGCCCCTCTTCGGGTCAGCCCAGTGCCTGCCCCCATCCCTAAGTGAAAACTGGGTAACAAAAGGTCACAGCTGGGTTGGCAGGGAATGCTGCCCTCATTTCCAGAGCAGCCCCAGACCCACAAAAAACAAAGTCATTCCGAGAGAACAAACCAGTTTAGGATTAGGAGGGAGGGATTCTTCCCACCAGAGCAGCCTCTCCTTTCCATTCCTGGGACAGAAACCTTACAGATGCCAGCCAAGGGTCCCGGCCCAGGGCAACCCTCATTTGGACAAGTGCCCTCCCCAATGTGAGAGGTGGTTAGGATGGCAGACGGGGGTCAGAAGTTGCCTCTTCCTGCCACACCCCACTGCCAACACCAAAGACCCAGTGCGCTTCCCCAACAGGGACTATAATGACACAAGGGCAAGGGCTGGGGGCAGCAGCTGTTGCACAGGAGGGGGCTCTCCCCTAGGCTTTGACGGGTGGGATCTAGGAAAGAAGCCCCTCCTCCTAGAGCAGATAAGCCCACAGATAGGACCTTCACCCCACCCTCCAGGGTGGGAGAAAGGACCACTCTGCCCTGAAGCTACTGGATTCCTAGCAAAAAGATTACCTATAAAGTGGAGGCAAAGGGCTGCACTTCCCCTACAAGAAGCAGCAGAACAGATGAACAAATGTTCCCTGAAGGGAGGAACCTCTAAAGTTCCTCAGCCCTAATGTAACAGAGATAGCGCCCCGGGGTTACTTAGGAGGCTCCAATTGTCCAGCAAGGGCACCCGAGTTTCAGCAACAGAGACGGGAAAGTGAAAAGTAGAGGCAAGGCCCCCATCGAGCCCCAGGCCCGCACCCCTGGTGGGAGTGGCAGCTCCGCCACCACCACCAGCCCCCGCCCCCCCCCCCCAGCCCCAGCTCCTACAATGGGAGAGGGGAGGCCGGTACCTACAGTGGTTTGAGCCATTCCAAAGCGGAGTCCGGAGCGGGGTGGAGTAGGGACCAGGGGCGGGGAGCCCTTTCTCCGGGAGCAAACAGGCCCGGTTTTGGTTATAAAAATCCACCACCAGGAAGGGATTGGGGGTGGGGGTGAGTCCCCCCACTTCCACACTCTCGTACATCTTCCCCGCGAAGACAAGAGGTCCGGGCGGGGAAGTCCTGCGCACCGCCTCCCTCACTCAGCCGGCGGCGCCATCCTCGGAGAGCAGCGGGGGGCGAGGGGCACGTCCCCCTCGCCCCGACTGGCGACCCGGGCCGCGGGCCGCCCGTCGCCCGAAGTCCTGCGTCTAAGTCGGCTGGTCGCTCCGCCAGTCCCAGGTGAACAGCGGGGAAGTTGTGTGCGGGGCGGGGGCGGGGGGTGTCCCTTGGCTCCCCCCAGGAACGCCCGCCGGAGGCCCGGGAACTCAGCGGCTCCACCTCGAGGGGGCTCCCGTCTCGAGTCGCATGCTGTCCTAGGCAGAGTCCCGCGGCTCCCCAAGTGCGCCGGCCGGGGGCGGGATCGGCGCGGGGCACGGGCGGCGGGGGGAAACGCCGGGCACTTCCTCCTCCCCGCAGGGGCTCTCGGGGCTTCTCCGGGGCGAGGATTCCGGGTGGGGGTGGGGACCCCGCACGGCTCCGCCTCCGCCAGGCACGGGGCCGCCGGCCGACGCTAGGTCTCCGAGGTGCTCGCTGCGGCCCCCCGCCCGGAGCCTGCGCGCCCCCACCCTGGCGGTCCCACCCCCTTTCCTCCGCCCCGTCCCGTCCAGGCACCGCCCCTGACTTAACCCTTGCCGGGCGGGTCCGGCGGGAGAAGCGCAGGGAACTGACAGGGAGAGGCGGGCTGGGGCGGGCGAGTGGGGGGAGCCTGAGAAGGGGGAGGAGAAAAGGGGGGACGGCCAGGGGAAAGGCTACAGAGAAGGAGTACGCGGAGGATGGACGGAGGCAGGGTACGCGGAGAGGTGGGGGCTGCGCGCTGAGGCAGGAACGGAAGAAGGGCGGGAGTCTACCCCATCCCAGTTCCGGCTCCCAGCCTCCCCAGTGGTTCGGTCAGTCCCCGGCCCGGCGCTGGTGGGGGAGAGGTGACGGGGCGGGGAGGAGGGGGTGGTCCCGGTGTCCTCCCCCAACACACCCCCCACCCAGCCCAGGCCTCATTTGCCTAATGCAATGCGGCTGAACTCTCGCTGAACTCGCCTGGCGGCGCCTCACCTCCGGGTGACCCACCCACCGCTGCCCGTGACATCACCCGCTCGCCAGCCCGCCCGCGGGGCTCGCCCGCCGGCCCCCGGCCCGCTCGGGCCAGGCCAGCGTCCCTGGAGCCGCGGAGAGTGGCCGCAGGAGGCGAAGGGCCAGGGCGCGCGTGGCCAAGTGTTAGCGCCACGAATGCGGCGTGCAGCGTGCGCCGGGTGTCCCGGGTGTGACATTGTGCAGCCCAGACGTAGTGTCGGGATGAGACACCCGGCTTGTGTCATTGTCTGTGACATCATGTGTGATTCCGGCCGCCCGCCTGCCGGAACCCGACGCTGCAGCGCGTCTGCTTTGGCACAAACGTTCGCAGAAGGGGCTCTCCTCCCCACGCTCTGCGTGCTTCCGGCGAGCAAAGCCCCGCCCAAGGTGTCTCCCAGCGACGGAACCAGGATTGGCCCCCCACCGCGCAGTCCAGCCCTGGAGAGAGGAGGGGCTGGTGCCTTCCAGCTGACCACTTCCTCCCGGAGGCCCTCGGGATGCCAGTTTCAGTGGAAAAAAGGTCTAGGTTAGGTAGGTCCGTGAAGGAGGGGGGATTCCCCCTAGAGGAGAGGGTATCCTGTTACTCCCACTGACTCTGCAGCAGAGCTCCCTCATTCTAAAAAGGCATAGGAACTGACAGGCTTCCCAAGAATATTCTTCAAGAAACCAGGTTCTTAACATGGTTATTAAATCCTCACAGCAACTCCAAGAGATAAGCGGGCATTATTCCTATTTCACATATAAAGAGACTGAGGTCTCAGCAAGGCTAGATGGGTTGTTCAAGTTCACACTGCTACTAAAGCTAGAATGAGCATTTGAACTTTTCTGCTGCCGAAGCCCGTACTCCCATCATGCCAGGCTGATTCAAGAAAAGGTATTTTCTGAGTACCTCCTATATGGATACTCGGGGAAGTCTGTTCTAGCAGACCTTAAGAAGCAACTGCCATTAAGCAAATAATTATTTATATATATATATAATTGTATATAATATATATTTTTCAGTGGAAGAATCTAAAGATGATGCCGTATGTGTGTGTGTGTATATATATATATATATATATAAACACACATATAGGTAATTGCACACAGATAACTGATGTTCTGAAACAGCTATAGTAGGCTTTGAAGGAGAATTACTACTGCAGGTACCTAATTTAGGTTGAAGGGTCAGGGAGGACCTCAAGGCAGAGACCTAAAGAAAGAGAAGAAGTTTATAAGTCAGGCAAAGAGTAGGAAAGAATGCGGTCCCAGTAAAGGAAGGAGCCTGTGCAAAGGTCCTGAGGTTAGAGATGTTGGTGAGTTCATTCAAGGTACTGACAGAGGACTAGGGTAGAGGCAGCATAAAATTCAAGAGGAAAACAGACACAAGACCAGGCTGGAGAGGTGGGCTGAGGCCAGACCAGGTGCGCCTGTTTGGGATCTTCTCTTAAATGCAAGGAGAAGCCACAGAAAGCTTCCAAACAGAGGAGAGGCAAGATCTGATTTACAGTGTTGTAAGATCTTTCTAGCAGCTCTGTGAAGAATGGACTGTAGGAGGGCAAGAGAGACCAGTTAGTAGCTGCTACAATAGTCCAGGGAGCATAAAAGGGCAGGGGGAGGTAGCAGTGAGCACTCTGGTGTGTGGCTTTGCAACAGCCAAGTTCCCGAGACTGTGAAGTACAGTCATCTACTGGTCTGGTGGACAGGTGGCTGTGGGGCTCCAAAGTGACATCCCACCTAAGTGAAGTCTGGGCTGCAGGTGGAATGCTGGGGTCTGGGGCACATATGCAAGCCTTGGCAGTGTTGAGTGCTGGGGAAGAGGGCAGACTGCTTCCACAGCCCTTGGTATCTTTCCTCCCAAATGACATAGCTCCTGGGCACCAGTTATGTGCTGGGCTCTGTGTTCACTGCTGCGAGCTTCTAAGGGATCTGAGTCTGTCCCTGCCATCAAAGACCCAGTAACTGGGAAAAGAGCTCCCAAATGATTACAGCTCACGGCAGGAACTGGTCGGAAAGAAGTCATTTCGTGGTACAGAGAGGAGTGTTCTATAAGAAAAAATAAGGACGCACAGGAATTCAAAGGTGGGACAGTGCAGCGTGGAATGGGAGACACCTGTGAAGGCTTCTGGAAAGAGGCAGCATTCAGGATGTTCCTTAAAGGATGGAGAGAATTTCTGGAGCTGGAGAAAGTCCAGAAAGAAGTCCAGGTGAGATACCTGTTCTGGGCAACAGCAAGGTCGTGAAGCATGTCAGAGAAGAACACAGTGTCCTGAGGCATGAGGCACGGGAAGAAGAGGGAAAAAAGGAAGGTTCTGGCGGCCGATGGAGGGCTCCAGACACAGCTACCCAGGCCTCCTCTGCTGCTCCTCTGTGACTTTCCCCATAGCGCCTCCAGGACTGGGTGTTTAGGGGGCCCTCGGCACGTGTGGTCTGAACTGAACGGGCCCCTACTTGTTCCATGCCCCCTCCTGTCCCCAACCCCATCTGGAGGAGATAACAAACAGAAAAGCATGAGGCCTGGAGCCAGACATGGGGTCCCGGTATAGGGTGGCCATCCCCAAACACAATGACCCCACTCCACCCACCTCATCATCACTGCTCTGGCAGGATACTTGAAGCTCACCCGGGCTCCTCAGCCAACAGGTCACCATGGCCTCATATCAACTCAGCCAGCCGGGAACACATTAGGAGTCTTGCTTTAAAGAGGAGGATACAGACTCAGAGAGAGGATGGGTGACCTGCCCAAGGCCGCACAGGAAGAACAGTCTTTTTTAAGATTTCTGCCCACAGTACCTTGGTCTGTGGGCTGGTTGAGGTTCTCAGCAACCCAGAAGTCAAAACGGGCTGGAGGGGCGCCTGGGTGGCTTAGTCGGTTAAGCGTCCGACTTTAGCTTAGGTCATGATCTTGCGGTTCGTGGGTTCGAGCCCCGCGTCGGGCTCTGTGCTGACTGCCAGCTCAGAGCCTGGAGCCTCTTTCAGAGTCTGTGACTCTCTGACCCTCCCCTGCTCACGCTGTCTCTCCCTCTCTCTCTCTCCTAGAAATAAATTAAAAAAACATTAAAAAAAAAAAAAAAACGGGGAGGAGAGAGCCTTTATCTCTGATCTAGCCAGGGCCGACCTAACCTGTCTACCCTGAGACACCCAGCTCCACTGGCTGTGCCCGACTCCATGGAGGAGTAGGAGGAAGGAGGCTGTGTGGGCACCGCCCCAAAGTCATCTGCAGAAGGGAAACACTTCCTCTTTCTACAGATGCTACCCCCTAAAGGTAGTCCTAGCCTGCACCGGTGTATCCCTGAGTCCTGCCTGAGGGAGCCCATGCATTATCACTGCTCCCAGATAAAAGGTGAGGGGCCCCGTTTTCATTCAAAATCCCTTCCAACAATCTTTTGGCTGACTCTGCATTTTGGACCCCTGGAAAGGCACTGCTAGCAATACCCTCTCTCCCTGGGCGGTCTCTCTTATTGTCCAGGGAAAGAGTGGACGGAAGGGAGGGTGGGAGGCAGAGACTAAGGGAAGGGAGTGGCAGAGGAGAGGAAGAGGGGCTCACCCCCTCCTCGGTCTCCCCAGTCTCCGGGCACACACACTATGAACATGTGGACAGAAAGGAAAAGACCTGACCGGGTCTTTTGGGGTTCTCATCTCTAGCTCCTCTACCGATTGCTTCCAACTTCCCTGCCCCTACCCTACAAATTGAAACAAAATAAGAATACACTCTGTTCCTACAGTGTCTGTCTGGAGGGGGGGGGGGGGGCGGGAGGATTGCCTACTGAGCTCTGCAAACTCCTGTGGGCTGCAGCAGGCAGATTCGGGGGTGGGGATGGGTGTGAACAGATTGTATCAGCAGTTTCCAGGACAGGATGGAGATCTGGCCCGGGCCTCTTAGGGCTCTTTCCCTCCAGCCTTCAGGATCCAAAACACAGAAGAGGGGGTGTGGCTTGGCTGCCATCCCGACGCCCCCTACTGGGGGAAAGCAGGAGGTCTGGGGCAGAAGTGGGACTCAGCCATAGGAGAAGGGGGTTTCAATATTGGCACTGAGGGACCCCTCCCCCCTCTCCTGACCCAGGAGTGCCCACCACGATACCCTCCTGCAGCTGCCTATCTGGATGGTGGAAAACAGGTCAGCTTTAAGGCTCACTTAACCCAATCACTTAAGAGTTCCTCAAATGCAAATGGGGATAATGACCCTCTCCCAGCATCACAAAGTCTGGGGCACATAGTAGGTAGGTGCTCCACAGATATGAGCATCCAGTTCTCTCCAACTCCTCCACCTAGAAGGGGCCTGGGTCCCCCTTTCACCATGGTAACGGTACCACGCAGGAGACAGCAAGGATGCAGACGACAGGATGCCACAAGCAGACGCAGAGCTGAGAACATTACCATTACGTCGGCGATCTTGCCTAATCTCAGCCTTTGAGGGAGGTTCTGGTAATATCCCTGTTTTACAGGCCAGGAAACATGCTCAGAGAGGTCATCACATGTAGCAAGTGGCAAAGCCAGAACTCAAGCTCCACTACCTACTGCACAGCCTGCACGGAATTCCTGCAGTGAGCAACAGAAAGGGCAGGTTGGTTCCCCGCTCCCCTCCCCCCAGCCTAGATGGGCGATAAGAAGAGACCCTGACCTCCCCAGACACACAGTACAATCCACAGACCTCTCCCCTTTAAACACTCTATGCCCTAAGTCACCGCCCCCTCCAGCACACAGACTGACCACCCCTCCCCCCAAGCTCTGGATTTGATTCTTCCAAGTCACTCAGCTCTGACCTTCTCACCCCATACACACGAGCCATTAACCCCTTTCCCAACACACACTCAGCCTTGACCCCACCCCCACCCCTAAAACACACACAACCCTGACCCTCCCCACAATGCACACAGACTCCCAACCCTCTATAGTAAGTATCAGTCCTCAGAGATCAAGCCCCAGCAGCTCTGGGGAGGTGGGGAGGGAATCCTGTCCCATCTCTGGGGCCTCCCACTCTGACTCCCTGACTGGAGTAAGAGAAATACCCCTTCCCCAACAGTGACCCAGACCTGTCATTCCATAGGCCACCGGGGTCTCTGAAGGGCCCACCCAAGACACCCAAGGTCCAGTCTCCGAGTCACATGGGAAGGGAAGGGGGACTACGCAAACACCTTTGTTGGTGGGAAATGGGAGGAAAGAACCTCCCATTTGAGGTTTCCTACAAAAAGGGTGACCATTGCTGTCTGCAGGAATGGGGGCCACCAATGTCTACCTCTCCTAGGAACTGCCTGACCCCTGGCACCAGCCCCAAGGCAGGGAGAGCAGAGAAATGAGGCTGCCTCCCATCTCCAACACATATGAATTTTGATCTGTCACGCTTCACTACCCGGGGCGGAGGAGCTTGGGTCACCAGGCCAGCCAGCCCTGCACAAGAAGGAGGGGGATGCCTGGCTCCCTGAAGCCCATGGCTACACCACTGGTCCCAGAGAAGGAGAAGGTCAGGGGAAAGCTCAGAAGCTGGGGGTCTAGGTAGGAAGAGAAGTTGTTGTTTACTAGGAAGAGGGGAGGGGCTGGGAAACCCACAGGCTCACAGAGGGAGGGGGCAGGAAAGGAGCATTGCCCAACCTGGGTGGGGAAAGCCAGAGAAGGCTCTACTTGCCCAAAATGTGGGCACCCCACCCAGGGGGGAGAAGGTTACCAGGGTGGGAAGTGGGGGACCCGGAAGCCCTCCCCACCCACCTCTAAGAAAGAGGAAGAAGCTTGCAACATTCAGAGGAGGACACAGCATTTGCTCTTTGCTTGTCTGATACGAGATGGGCACGAACCCAGGCCACCCAGGCCACCTCCAACTCTGAGCAGGGCCTGGGGCTCTGTTCCTATCACCTGGAGAAGGACAAGTTACCCCCAGGCACCAGGTTGCAAGCCCCCCACTTGTCCCTCCCTAGAAAATCCCACCCTGGCAGGGAGCAGACACTCCAGTTACTCCCGCCAAGAATACGAATTCCAGTGTCTGCAGACAAAAGGAACCACAGACTTGCCCACAACCCCAATTCCATTCCCCAGCAGCCCTGAACCCAGAGACTGGGCCCCCTGGCCACCTAGCATGGGCTGGAAGACTAGGCCAAAGTCGGAGTCCCCCCAACTCCAGGTCGCCGTGCCACTGCCGTATGAGGACAGTTAAGAAAAGGAGGAAACAGAAGGTGGAGTATGAATGACATTGCAGTGGAAACTGAGGGAGTATCTGCCTGCCCTCTGGTCCCAGGCCAGAAAGAGGGGGAGCGTGTAGGAGCAGACACGGAGCCCCTGCTCTGGCAGCCGGTGGGGCCCGGGAGGGAGGGGCCGTGGCGGAGCCAGAGGAGGAGGTCCAGGAAGCGGTGGTGGCGGTGGGCAGACGGCCAGTGCGGGCAGCGAGGCGCCCGGCCAGGGCCTGCCCCAGGGACAAAGAGACTCCCTGGCTCCGGCGAGAGCGTGCTGCCCCCACACTGAGAAGGGGGCACTGACCCAGCCCAGCCGGGCACACAGGGTAGTGGTGCCAGGCAGCCTGCCAGGGGCCGTGGGAGGGGCAGTGGGTGCCCGGGGCAGGGGGTTCGGTCCCCGCCCGCCAGGAGAGGTGGGACACGTTTCCCAGGTCAGCAGCTGACCGACCAGCCAGCCGTCCACGGGCCATTCTGCTGCTTCCAGCCCCTCCCGCCCCAGGCCAGGCCCCTGCTCCCTCCCTCCTCCCCCTGAGCCCTGGCCTGGTGCCCAGCTGGGCCCTGGGGGCCAGAGTTACTGTAAGCGGCCTGGCAGGCCCGAGGCCTGGACTCCGCCAGCTGGCCATAGCTGCTGCCACCTCCCACTACCTGGCTCGGCCAGCCGGGGAAGGGTACCGAGACCCCCGTCCAGCCAACAGGCGACCCCCATGGCAGGGGGTGGAGTCAGCTTGAAAACACGGGCCCTGCCAAGAGCATGCAGGCGTGCACAGCCAGAGTCCAGGCCGGGTGCCCCCTCCTGGGACAGCGGCCCTGGCCACCAGGCAACCGTGGGTGGAGCTGGCAGGGAGGGGGGAGGGAGGGGTCATCAGCCTCCCGGGCAGTCTGCGCACTCAAGCTCTTTCCCTCAGAGGGGTGGGACGGAGGTGGGGTGCCACTCTCAGGAGACTTGCCATTTCCACCAAATGTCGAGAGGTTTGTTTACCCGCCTCCGGCCTCTGTGTCCAGTTCTGGGAGCTATTTATAAGGCCCTCAACAGCACAGCACAGGAGAGGGCGCCAGGAGAGGAACGGCACTGTTGCATCTCTCCCTCAGCCGCCCCCAACATCACAACAACCACTGTTATCGGCCTGTGAGTCTTTCATCCTTGAGCCACCCCCCCCCCCGCCAACGACAGTCCCCCTCATCTAGAGAAGACGCGCAGAACAGATGTGCCTGGAGGCCTGCTGCCCTCCACAGCCCCCTCCCGCCAAGCCTCCCGCCACCCCACTTACTGGCTGGGGATGGTGTGCTATAGCCGCTGACTGGAAGCTGGTGCTGGAGAGTGGTCAGGGCGCCTGGCGGTGAAAGTCCACCCAGCATTGGCGGGAAGAAGAAGGCGTAGGGGGGCACCGGGTACCCATTGAGGTGCCCTCCCCCAGGTGTTGGGCAGGAGCTGCTGTTACTGGCCATGCCAAGCAGCCACAGTCAGAAGGGCAGGCAGACAGTCTGGCAGGAGGCTCCGAGGGGCTTCAGGCTGCCCCTCCTCGGGGCATGGGGCCTGGGCCCAGCGGGGGTCTGGGTGGTCGGCCCACCCTGCCCCCCTCCTGTCCTGGAGCTTCTGTCCAAGGCCAGCAGGCTAATCTCAGCCTCCTGGATCCACCACCCCCCTGCTAGAGAGAGGGGGGCGCGTGGGTTGGGGGAGGTCCCAAGAGCTGGTCCTCTGGTCAAGCAGTTCTGTGAGCTGACACTTTTCTGGGAAGGTCCGGAGCTGGCCTTCAGGACACTGAAGAGGATGCCTCTCCCAGATGGGCCCTGGCTAGGCGGCTGGGGGGGCCATGTTCTGTGGCACTGCAGAAAAAGGAGAGACAGGTGAGTGGGCACTGAGGAGCGGGTACACGGGCATTCCCCGTGGAGCTCCCCAACCTGGGCGGCCGGAGATTCTCCCGTGGCACCCGGCTGAGCAGACAGTTGGCACCATGCCTGGCTGGCAGAGACAGCCCGGGAGCAGGGCCCAGACACTGCTGGGGGTGGCAGGGTAGCACAGCCAGGCTGGGGAGACAAGGACAGAGCCCAGAGCCACAAAGGGCCTCTCACCCACAGTCCTGAGCGGAAAGGTCAGGGTCTGCCACCCCAGAGGATCCCTGTGGCAGAGGCCAGCAGCCGGCCCTCCTCCTCCCCCCAGTGTGGGTTACCTGAGGTCAAGATACAAAGAACCGTGTGCCTGAGGGGAGGAGGGTGGGGAGGAAAAGCCGCTTCCCTAAAGCATTGGCACTTCTCAGAAAAATGACTCCTAGGCCAGGGGGCCCCTCTTATACCACTTCCCCCCAAATTCCAAGCCCCAGCACCCCAGATGGGTTTGCCCCACAGGCCTAGGGAGGAGGCCTGTTGACATACACACAAATAGGGAAATGGGAACCAAGGACTCCTGGGTATCACCTCCAAAGGTTACCAGCATGATGGGCCGGGGATGGCCAGTGTGGAAGAAGGGCAGGGACTGTCCCGGGTCATCCCTACCCCCAGGGAAATGAAAGGGTAAGGGAGACTGACGAACTCGAAGTTCACCCACATACTTGGTCAGCAAAAGCAACATGCCTGGATGGGGTGGGAGGTGGGCGCAAGGGGAAGGACCAGATGGCCCCCCACCATGTGTGTATACAGATCCAGACCCTGTCTGAACAGCTGGAATCGGAAGGACATGCACAGATAACACCATGGGGAGTTAAAGAGATGAACCCAGAGATTCCATGACACAGAGAGACAGAAAGGCAGCAACGAGGGCAAAGAGAGAAAGGGGGAAGAGAGAAGCATCCACAAGAGAATGCTTCCAATCAAATCCACCTGGGGTATAGGAACTACATAAATAAATACAGGGACATGGACATATTTATATAAAAATACATATACACACATATATGGCATACGTATGGCATTGTATATATGCAAGGACAAAAAAAAAAAGACAAAAGGAAAGAGCCAGTTAAAACCACAATGAGGGGCGCCTGGGTGGCTCAGTTGGTTGAGCATCCAACTTCAGCTCAGGTCAAGATCTTGTGGTTCGTGAGTTAGAGTCCTGCATCAGGCCCTGTGCTGACAGCTCAGAGCCTGGAGCCTGCTTCCGATTCTGTGTCTCCCTTTCTCTCTGCCCCTCCCCTGCTCATGCTCTGTCTCTCTCAAATAAGCATATAAATAAATAATAAAGCTACAATGAGATACCACCTCAGACCTCAGATCCACCAAGATGACTATAATGAAAAAGACTAATAAGTTGCCGGCAAGGATGCTGGAGAAATTGGAACCCTCACACACTGCTGGAGCGAATGTAAAATAGTACAACCGCTTTGGAAAACAATGTGGCAGTTCCTCAAAAAGTTAAACAGAGTTACCTTATGATCCAGCATTCCATTCCTAGGTATCTACCCAAGAGATATGAAAACGTAAGTTAACACAAAAACTTGTACTCCGGGACCGTTCATACCAGTATTCCTCACAATGGCCTTAAAGTAGAATGGACCCAAATGTCTATCAGCTGATGAATGGACACAATGTCCATCCACGTGCAAACTATGCTGCCAGAAAAAGGAATGAAGTACTGACATACACTACCACAACATGAAAACAGTTATGCTAGTTCTGAAAGGCTACGTACCGATGATTCCATTGATATGAAACGCCCAGAATAGGCAAATCTATAAAGACAGAGAGTAGACTGCAATCACCAGGGGCTAGGGGGTAGGTTTGAAGGAAATGGGAGGTGACTGCTGATAGTTAACAGGTGTCTATTTAGAGTGATGAAAATTTTCTAAAATTGATGGTGGGGATACTCGCACCACTCTGAGTATACAAAAACCACTGTGGTGTACACTTTAATGGGTGAATTTTACAGTATATGAATTATATCTCGATAAAGCTGTTAAAAAAGAAGAAAGGAGGGGCCCCTGACTGGCTCAGTCAGTAGAGCATGTGACTCTTGACGTCGGGGTCATGAGTTGGAGCCCCACATTGGGGGTGGAGTTTAATTAAAAATAAAAAATATTAAACAAAGAAGGAAGGACGAGAAAAGGAAAGAGAAGAAAGGAAAAAGGAAAGAAACAAGGCCACAAAGACCCAAACGAAGCACTGCCTCCATTGCCAACCCCTGTTCCTCGCCCCCTCCCCCACCAAGCCTAGGCCATTCCACGTTCTAAGCTCCAGGCTCCAGGTGCAGACCTGGAGCCCAGGGGACATGCACATGGCCAGCGTTTGGCAGAGGACCATGCCTGGGATGGGGGAGTTCCTGCCAAGGCCACCGTGGACAAGGCCAGGACTTTGGGGCCCAGCTGGGCCAGGCTGGGGGGGGGGGACAGGTACTCGCTAGGGAGGGGGCAGCTCCCCCAGGAGTGAAATCTGGACATTGGTAATGACCACGATTTTTACTGGTGCTAATTATGGCAACCATAAGGCCTCTCTCCTTACTCCTGAATGAGGTACCCCCTTCCCTCCCCAGGCCCCTACTGATTCCCTCCCAGGCTGAGAAGGCTGACGTCAGAGGAACAGGGGCCCCACCCATTGGGCCAGCTGCCACCCCAGCCCCCCCACGCCCCTGTGGGGCCCCACACAAAGGGAACTCTCAAGCTGAGAGAGCTAGGCAAGGGAAGGAGGGGTTGGCTGAGCCTCATCAGGGTTGACAGTCAGACACACACACACTCTCTCTCTCTCCCTCAGAAACTCACGCATTCAGGTCTATGGAAAGCATCTGGGTGGGCAAGAGCATGCTTGCGCGCCCCGGCCTGTGTGTGTGCGGGCACGCACGTGAAGAGAGGGAACCTGGAGATACCATCTCTCCACACCTGGGCTTCACCACACAATGAACATGGCTCAGGGCTTGTGTGCACGGCCCCGGGACACAGCTCCCCGCAGACATACAACCACAGCCCCACCGTCTCCCAAACGGCACATTCGCTGACCCTCACACAGCCAGGCTGGCCTTTGTACCTGCCTCCCTGGGGGCCCAGCGCCCAACACACACTGAGGTGCACCTTCCGACAAATACACGGATGGGGTTTACATCCACACAGGGGCCTGCCTCCCTGAGGTGAGGCCCAGGAAGCTGAGGCCCCATAAGGCCATTCACTCTAGACCCCAGGCATCCTGACTCAGCTTCTGGGGTGCAGGGGGTGGATTCGGTCAGTCCAGTCTGGACCTTCTGCATCCCACCTCTGCCCCCAGAGGAGAGAGGACTATCCCCACCTTAATGCTTCAACTCTGCCTGTGAGGAGTCAGACATGGGACCAAACTTCAAAACTCCCTGCTCTCCAAAGCCACACCCCAGTGAAAGACTGGAGGGCCTCCCCAACCCCATCAGTGCCTCACTATCCCTAACTCAGCTCAGCCTGCAAACTCTAGTGCAGAGTTACTCAGCTCCCCAGGGAGGACCTTGAGCCATGCGAGGGTGTAAAGGTCACAGAAATGGGCCAAGGGCCAGGCTGGCCAGGGAACAAGGATGGGTGAGGGCAGGGATGATGGGGGCTGAGCCAAAGAGCACAGACCCTGCCTCCGAAGCTCCCCCTGGAGCCATGACCCTTGGGGAGACACCTGGGCCCCAGCTACCTGCACCCAGGGGTAGAGAAGACACAGTCAGAGAACTGAAACCACCAAAGAAAGGGAAAACAAACTACCTCCAACCTCCGCCCGATGCCCACCGGCTCCACTGCCCACGGGCACCCTCCCTCCCTCAAGGCAGAGAAAACCACAGGCCCATCTCTCCGATACACTGAGCCTCGCCTGGGCACAGTAGGAGGGGGTGGGGGCTGGAGTGCTGGGTACCAGCCATGCACCCTGCCCACCGGGACCTCCCTCACTCTCAAAAGGTGCCAGGATCCCTCCCCCACTGGAAGGCATCCCCAGGTGCCCATTCCTTACACCCCCAGACTCACACACCTAGAGAAAAAGGCAAGAGCTGACGAAGCCATGAAGATGGTAGAAAAAACCAGAGGTTTTAAGGGTCAAATCTCAGCTCTGCCACTCTGGGTGAACTTAGGCAAGTCACTTAACCTCTCTAAGCATCTGTTTACTCACTTGCAAGCTGCCGCTCTCAACAACTGGTTGTGTGGTTTCAGACCTGTGAGTCTGGAAAGCACCTAGCACAGCACTGGGCACACAGGAGGTGCTGGGCAACTGGGCCCCTTTCCCCACACCTCTCACCACACCCGGTGCCTCCCTGGGCCATGTGTCTGCTCTCCCTTCCCTCTTCCCAACCAGGGCTAGTGTCTGTGGACAGGGCCCGGAGAGAGAATTACCCATTTTCCAGGGTCTGCTTCCCCCCAGACTGAGAAGAGGGATGTGGGTGAGGGATATTCTGGTGTGGGTGGAGGCCCAACCACAGCACTTTCCCAAATTCCCTTCTTTCATTTCACAAACCAAAAAAGGGAAACCTTTAGGATTTGGGGAGGGAGGAAGGGAAGAGAAATAAACTATTTCCTTTCCTATCCCCAGAGAAGAGGAGCCAGGGGTCCCCAAACCCAGCAGGCCCAGCCCCTCTTCTTCATGGACTCCCTCCTCGCAGCTCCCAGGCTCCTCTGCAACAATGGCTCCCAAGGAACAGAAGGCAGGCAGTCCCAGAGAGGCCGAGAGACAGGGACCCAGGGACGGGGACTGAGCAGCTTAAAAGAAAGGGAGACAGGGGCTTTCCTAAGCATTCTAGACAGCCAATGAATCATAGGCAAATGACACACAAAGCTCAGCTCAACTTGAAGGGGGACCCAGAGGGACCCACAGGACATGAACGAACCCTGGTAGAAATAAAGATCTGGACCCCCTGGACCCCCTATCAGACCAGGAGGGGACAGGGCGGGACAGGGCGGGATGGGGCG